AAAGTTTTTTTTTTTGTTTTTTACATTTTTTAAAAATAAAAAAAAAAAAAAAAAAAAAAAAAAAAAAAAAAAAAATATATATAAAAAATTAAAAAAAAAAAAAAAAAAAAAAAAAAATATGCACTAATGTAGAATATTGCACCATTATTATAGATATATTTATTTTCATGTACATAGTTTGTACAAACTGTTTATATCAAAAAGGGAAGAATTGTCCCATATTTTAGTTAACAAGTAAAGCAATTTTTATGCAAAGGAAAAATATTCCATGATATTAGTTTTTGTACTTTTGCTGTACTATTATTTCTGACCAGTTATGCTGATTATGACCGAGACCCCCTAACCCATGATCCTTGCTACTGTGTTGCTGTGTCTAAGTTTTACTGGACACGTCTTTCAGGAAGTACTGAGAGTGTATACTTTTCACAAGGAAAACTGATTGACTTAGGCAACTGGTAATCCGGAAAAATGCAGAGTGGATACAGATTTCCTTACATTTTAGTTTCAACCCAAATTTTGTACAAAATCAAATTCTATTTATTCAAAATTATGGGCTGGTCCCATCATTATTTTTTAATTTTCCATAGGCTGGACCTATGGTTTAAAAGGAATTTGGGGAACTCCTTGTACATATTCATCACCATTATAAATTATGGGCTGGTCCCATTTTTCATTTTCAAAAGGCTGGTCCTATAATTTCATAAATTTCATTCCCCTTTTTTATTCCAAATTGGGCGGGTTCCCAATCTTTTTTAAAAGAAAATGGGGGGGAATGTTGTGATTACGGTTGTGGCTTGTATTGAATAAAGCGCCATCTATTAATATGATGTTGCGCCACCTAGCAGTATGAGATAGACAGCGGAAAATTTGAGAGCTATCTTCACTCAACCATTCCACTGAGCGACCTCGCTAGAGAGACACCTCCGTAGGATCAGCACCTCCTTTGTATATATTCTTCACTAAGCAAATATTCCTAAGTTCTTCCTACTAGACAGATCCAATTGGTACAGATTGTAGTGACAGACTAGGAGCTTTTTGAAGTTTGCATAGGAGTCCAGACAGTGGAAATTTAAAGGTAAGTTGTTCATGCCCCTGATCAGGGTGTGTCAGCCGCCTTTGTGTATCACTATCATTTAGACTGTAGTTATCACGAGAATAAGTGAGTTTAGCCACTCGGGTTCACTTCAGAGCCAAAGCGGTTCATAAATTGACGGTTTTAGTTATGAGTAGTCTTTGTCATTTCAAACGTCCTATGTGGAGTTGCCCCGGGAACTGTGTGGATATATGTATAGTCTTGATAAGCAAGGGCAAAGGAGGGGGGCATAAAAACAAAATGTATGATTAGGTAGAGCAATAGCGGCAATGTGACTTGGAAACAAATTCTTGCTGATAGTCCCAACGAGCTGATAGCTTTTTTATGAAAGGGCTATATGACATGCATGACGTCATGCCGGGTAAGGTATTGACTCAATCCAATTTAGATCTGTTGCGCAGTTGGTAAAGGAAAGAGATCAATGACTATTCCCGCCTGAATATCATTTCAAAGACTTTAAATCAAAGAGAAGAAATATAATTGACGACGCAGTCTTTACGATAATGTCGAGCAATAATTTGTTGTCAAAATCGATCACTAGTTCTAAACTATACCGTATTTTTATGCAAAAGGCAATATGCTCGGATACACGAGTGCCTGCATTTGTTTTCGATTGCGGGGACAGCTCGTTGGTGTGGTGAATTGCGTCATCTGGGATTTAAGCTCGTGACTTGCTGTTACCATGGTTAGCTTATTGTTTGTTATTTTTTGCAACTAAGCACGGTACCGACTGTTCCGTGACTGACACACCTACCCACCCTACTTACGAGTTTCCACTTATAGTAATCTAACGCAAATTACAGAAATCCAGAAAAAAAAAAGCACGTTGCTAAGTGTAGGATTCGAACCCGCAACCGACAGGGTGATCTGTTCACAGGACGACGACGTTACCGCGGTACCACTGAAGATACATTGGAAAGATATGCATCAAATGGAACTTTTTACTTTCTCACAAAGAGGGGTCAGTTGAAGGGATAATAACTCTTCCTATGAGATCTATATTTCACAATAAGAACATTGTGAACAACTCATAGCAGGCCCGTAGCCAGGGGGGGGGGGGGGGGGTGGGG